GCGGGGAACAGGAACCAGCACCCCTCATTTTACACCAAAAAGCAGCTAAAAAATTCCATATCTCCAACCTCACTGTCACAGCACGGTAAGAGCATGGTCTGCAGTTGAGCTAGTTATTACATGTTACAAACGTCGCTTTTTCGCGCGCGCGAGCGCTCCCGCGTCGTCCTCCGCGCCCAGCTGCTCAATCCTCCGCGTGTCCCTCCACCCGCTCGTTTAGTTATTAAACCTCTTCGGCAGTTGGCCTCTGTTCGCGCGCGTTGGCATCTCCCGCGCTAAAGAGGGTTGCCCCTGGCCGTAGAAGGCAGTATGTATGGTGTTGAGCCCCCCCTCGTCCTCCTCGCTTTCAGTGTCCTCATCCTCGTCCTTACTGCTGCTGCTGCTGACGGTGATTGGCTCTATCTGGCGTTGCCTCTTGGGTGGACGTCCGCGTGGCCGCTTGGCGACTGTTGTAGTAGTAGTAGTAGTCGTTACCTGCGTAACCGCCTGCTGCTGAACGAGCTGAGCAAGCATCCCGTGTAGCTCATCTACCCGCTTTTGTAGCTCCCCCGTGGTGTTGCTTTTGGCCTTTCTCTTACGCTTAGCACGCTGCTGAGTGGCCTGGTCAGCCCGCTGAGCGATCTCGAACTACGAAGGGTCCCTCTGCGTGCTTATGCTCGTGCTGGCGGGTGGTGCCGTGCTAGCAGGTGTTGAACTATGCTGCTGCTGCTGCTGCTGCTGAGCACGCGGGCGGCCTCTGCGGCTATATTAAACGAAGTTACCTACGCGGTGGATCGGGTCGTCGGACTGAGGCCTCTTAAACCGCTAGTAGGGATGAATTAGTTCAAGAGGGATCGTCCAATGCTTACTAATACTTAGCTGCTGGAGCGTGTGGGAGCAGGGTAAGCCATAAGAGCTCTTAAACAGACCGTAGCAGTAGTGTTTATAGCCGTAGCTCTTTATCAGCTTAACCTGCTGCTGCAGCAACTTTAGAGCGGCGGGATAGACGTGCCCAATTAGCTACTTGAATAGAGGCTCGCTCGTGTGTTGGTGTTAAGGACGCCCGAATGCTACTCCCTCTGCCTTCTTAATAGCTTGCCATTCAGTACTTAACGCTAGCAGGAGGTTGTCCTTTAAGCTGATATAGTCCTGTTTACGGTGGCTAAAGAACGACTTTGTACGCCTATGTGAGCCTTCAGCAAGTGACGTAACGCTGCGAAAGTTAGTAGTATAGTAGTAATAGGTAAATACGTACTGATTGCCAAGATTTAGGTGTTGATTAACCCACGTACGGTACTACTCCTCCTTATACGGCATCTACTATTCGGTAATGTAGTTGAGAAGGCCCTGCTAATCAGTAAAGTCGTATTGAAAGGACGCCTAGAGAGCGTTAAATTCAGCAATATCGCGGGCCTGTGATAGCTGATTAAAGCGCTTCTTATACTCGTTACGGCGCTCCTTAATATCAACACCTTCATCCTTATCCTTATCCTCGTCGTGTGCCTATGCTTTCTGAATCCTTATGCCGACGTTTTTATTAATATGCCACATATATATTAGCTGAGGGACCTCGTAGTGCTGGCGGAGGGCGTTCTTCAGTGCCAGTTCGCAGTCAGTAATAAAAATAGATAGTGTTTTGATATGCTGAGAAAGTTAATTAATGGCTTATGAATATTTAGCTTTACCCTCCTTCGCTAGTAGGTAGTAGGCAACGGTGAACGGTCGGCCTAGTGGTGATACCCCTACAACGTGTAGTAGCGGGACGTCGTCCTTATTCGACTTGTACGTGTAGTCGAGCATAAGTACCTTACCCCAGCGCTGTTGTAGCTGCAGTGAACGCTTGTAGGCCTAAAACACCGTGTGGGCGTGTCCCTCAGTATCCAATAGATATTCGCATACCCAGTCGTTATTAACACTAACACCATCACTAACACCATTAGTAGTTGTTCCCAACGCCTGAAGCTCCCTGATCATGGCCTGCAGGCTTGTAAGGCCATTGAGTCGCTCCCTCTTATTCTTGGCACGAAGGTTCTTGATATCTGTATCTGTGATGAGACTCTGCGGGTTCTGGTGTAGTAGCTGAGCACGTATCTGCTTCGGCCTGCTGGCAACGCTGAGAGTGTTAATCTGCTGCTGTTGTTCAGTCGTTATCTTGCGGTGATATGGGTGGGCGATCGGGTGCTTGAAAGCTTTATGGTTGTGCGGGTGAGCAGACGTCTCAAGCTTCTACTGATTATCATATTGGCGACGAAGGACGAGTTGAAAAGGACATTGAGTTGATTTTGTACTAGTCGAAGGTCTCACACGAGCCTGTAATTCGTAGCTGCCCGCACGATCGTACTTATACTGAATCTTCTTCAGCACACCTGCTTTCGTCTTATTTAAACGTTGTTTGCGAAGACCGTATCCGTGGGCCGCTGCAAAGGCCTGAAGTTCTGTTACTGCTTGATCAAGAGACGCGTAAGTGAGCTCTGGCGGGTGCGCAAGGTCGTAATCCATGGTGTTAATGGCAAGAGAGGTGCGAGAGGTGGGTGGGCGTTGAGGTATTAGGCGTTGAGAAGCAAACGAATATATCTACAAACGACGAAGGCAACTTTCTGCCGGGCGCGTTACTCAATTGGGCAGGCGGTGACTAGGGGGGTGGTAAAAATATCCAGTAGGGGTGGTGAAATTATCCGGGGCCTTTCCACAAAGTCGTTAGCTGTCTTTGGAAAGTAATCCACGATATCCAAGAGCGTGTCATCGTGCGCCACAACAAAGAGAATATTGTCATGTGCATCCGCCTCTTGCAGCTTCTGGATCGTCTGGATCATGACAGGAACGTCGTAATGGATCTGTCGCCCACTGGCCGGTTTCGCAGGGAGATAAAACGGACTATACTTCCCATCGCGCAGAACGCCCTCAAACAGCTCTCCCGGGCACGCCGAGCTGCTGCTCATTGTGAACGGGTGCGGCAAGACGGCTTCGGGCAGCGGATGCCAAGGATGTGGCCGCAGTTCACCGCTATGATGTATCGCATCACCGGCCATCAAGATGAAGCTATCCGGACCACTCGTCACACGTGCGAGGCCACACATATGACCAACCGCATGGCCCGGCGAGTCAAGGAAGTAAAACGAGCCGTCACCAAAATAGTCCAAAGCATCAAACCGCCCGATCTTCAAGCCAGTCTTTGTAAAGTCCAGCTCCCTTACCTCCCGACCCGCGACATCGGCCTCGGAAAAATGCGCGTTTGGGTCTTGCGGATAACCCGGGAACACCCTTTCTTTGCTTCCGGGACCCACGATCAGCGCCGTGCTCGGCTCAAACGTCGAGGGGTCGCCCGTGTGGTCGAAGTGCCAGTGCGACCAAACCACGGCCTCGATCGCCTTCGTGTCCACTCCACCCTCGTCCAGTATCTCCCGCACGCCCTTCGGCACAATCAGTTGGGCGCCGGACTGCTTGAAGCGCTCTGTAAGAGGTGGCGGTAGGTTCCAGTGGTCTTTTCGGATGCCAAGATCGAATACCAGTGAGCGGTTCAGCGCGGGGTGTTGGATCAAGAACTAGTAACAGGGCGCTGCGAGCCAGTCGTGGCCAGAGATGTGCGGCTCAATTAAGAACTGGGCATTGGTACCGCGTATAGAGCCACTGTTGATTATTGAGACGTTGACCGTCGCTGTCGATGCCGGAACGTTCAGTTCGGGAGCAGGTGTCATTTTGTCTAAGAGGCAGTGAAAGGCAGTGGAGGATGTTTGCTTTTTGTTTAACTTCTGGAAACATGAATTAGTTTCGTGCAGCTTCATGTGGTGTTGGAGGCGTACTCAAGAGTTACCTTGGCGATTGTTATCGCACCCTGGGGATTCTGTTGGCTCAGATGCGGTGCGACACAATCTATAAGCAGCGGAAACCATGCGTCTGTACGATGACAAATTCAGAATGCAGTGCCACATCACGAGCGGGGTATCTGGCCCCTGGGGACAAATCTTTAATCCCTGTCGAAATCTGGGCCGTGCCGTGCATGATTTAGGATCTTGCCCCGAACCAAACAAGGAAGTCACAATCCTACAACTCGAGCTCATCCCCAGCTGGGTTTTGAGATAGTTACCACGCCAATTGCAATCATGACCAAGCCGACGAAAGCACCCGAGACGGGTCCCGACATCGCCATCCTCGGAGCCGGCATTGGCGGTCTTGCTCTCGCCATCGGCTTGATCAAGCGCGGCCTGTCCGTCACGATCTACGAGGCAGCCGATGCCTTCTCTACATTAGGCGCAGGAATTGGTTTTGGGCCCAACACCCTGAACGCCATAAGCCTCATCGATGAACGGTTCCGCGAGCAGTACAACAAGGTCAAAACCGAGAACGAGAGGCCCGAGTTCGAGCACAGCATCTTCGACGCTTTGTACGCAGAAGATGGCTTCGGCGAGAAGAGAGGCTGGACCAGCGGATTCGTCGGAGCACCGTATTTTACGAGGAGCAGCGCGCACCGAAAAGATCTACTGGAGATTATGACGAGCTTTATCCCGTCTGAGACCGTGAGGTTCGGCAAACGTGCGATAACCATCGAAGAGGTGGAAGACAAGGTCAAAATCGTCTTCGAAGATGGAGAGGTTGTGTTTGCTGATGCGGTCGTTGGCTGCGATGGAGTAAAAGGCATTACTAGGGAAGCCGTACTAGGAGCCATTGCGCCAGAGGAGGTTCCACTAAAATACCTTGGCATGTATTGCTATCGCGGCATCATTCCAATGGACAAGGCGAAAGAAATTCTGGGGAAACATGCCGGAGACGCAAAGTGGTTCCTGGTAAAGGGCAGGGGCATGGTTTTGTACCCAATTTCCAGAGGAAAGGAAGAGAACTTCGTCTTCTTCGTCAAAGACGATGAGCCTTGGACGCAAGGGGACTCAGCAGTACCTTGCACCAAGGACGATATGATCAAAGACTTCGCCGAGTTTGATCCCCGACTCCAGAAACTTCTAGACTGGTCGAAACCGCTCCGCTGGCCGATCTGGCACCATCCCGATACCTCCACCTACTACAATGGCCGGATATGCCTTCTCGGCGACGTCGCTCACGCCTCGAGTCCGCATCAGGCCGCGGGCGCAGGGCAAGGATTGGAAGACGCTGTCGTGCTGGCTCACTTGTTGTCTCTGGTCAAAGACCCTTCCCAACTAGAGCACGCTTTCAAAGTGTACGACTCGATCCGCCGACCCCGAGCGCAGAAGGTCGTGGCTACCAGCCTTGAAGCCGGGATCATCTACCTCTGGCTCCACCCGGAGATAGGCAGCGACATGGAGAAGATCGTAGAACAGGCCAACCAGAGGTTTCACTGGATATGGCAGCACGATCTTTCATCAGATCTTGAGAAAGCCGAGCTTGAGTTTTCCAGGTTGGTGGTTGCGCAGCAAAAAGAGGATCGTTTTGCGAACAACGGTGGCAGCAGAGTAAGCTGAATCTGTTACTTAACAGGGCGCGAGAATCGCGAAAGGGTTCTAGCAACTGTGATTGGCTTGGCCGATATTTTGCAGAATGCCGTAGCTCTTGCGAAATATGCACGAACTTTACTCAGCTGCATGATATCCACTCGGTTGGTAATTTTCCCACCAAACAGTGAGTCCAAGCCGCGCGTTTTACAGGGCACGTTTCCCTGATCACCTACAGCGGGAAGGATATCCATGGATCATGCTCAGTAAGTCGGTGAGATGGCCAAGAACAGCCCATTGAGCCAAGCTTCCGAGAGATGTGCAGGATGTGATGCTGCGATGTAATATATCTCAGCCAGCGCACACTTCTCAACTGCTGCTTATCTTCCACAGTTTAGTATGCATGCTTTAGCGATCATGCTGGAGCAATTCAAAACGGCTGGTATTCCGCGTGTTGTCTTCAGGGTGGTTTTCGCGTAGCTGATTCGCCTCTTTTTTTTTTTTTTTGGTGTGCTTGGAAATCATCACCATCGTCAGCGGTATCCCATCAACATTTTTCAATCCAGTCAATCTAACCATTGCCAGTCTAGAAAGCTGCCACCGTTCGTCCCCAGCAATTACTCGCCAGCATCATGCCTCCCGAGGTCAACAGCACCATGGCCGAAACTACAAAATCAGTCGCGCAGGAAGACTTGAGAGCCGCAGAAAAGAGTGATGGTTCAGGCGCGAGCACGGCAAGCATGATCGTCTATGACGACCACGCTCTCGACCGAAAACTGCTATGGAAGCGGGACGTGGTACTTATTCCAACTATGGGCGTCCTGTACATGCTCCTCTTCCTGGACAGGACCAACATCGCAAACGCGAGAGCGTTGGGCATCGGTTCTCCATCAGGGTTGGAAGCTGCGCTGGACATGCCTTCGAATGGTTACAATATCGCTCTGGTCATTTTTTACATTCCTTTTGTGCTGGTCGAGGTACCGGCCAATCTGCTCTTGAATTTGAACCACATCCCACCTAGGTTCTTCCTTGGGGGCCAGGTGTTTCTTCTGGGTATGTTGGTCTGGACAGTAGTGCCCGTGCGATGCTGATCATCTCTGCAGGGATACTGGGAATGTGTCAAGGGCTGACCCAAAGTTATGGCGGGCTCCTGGCTATCAGGTTTCTAATGGGCGCTTTCGAGGCATCTCTGCCGGCCGGCGCGGCCTACATGATTTCCATCTATTACACGAAGCGGGAGGCGGCCACCCGCTTTGCATGGTTCTTCAACTTCGCGTTGGCTGGCCCGATTTTCTCCGGTCTCCTTGCATACGCGATACAGAACCTCGACGGCACTAGTGGATACCAAGGATGGCGCTGGGTCTTCATCATTGAAGGATGTAAGTGCAGACGGACAGCATCGGGCACTTCGCTTGTTGACGCAACTCTTAGTGATGACCGTTTTCATCTCGGTCTTTGTCATTGTCTTCTGCCCGAACTTCCCCCAACACGCCCAAGCCTGGTTCTTGACGTCTCGCGAGCGTGACCGCCTTGTCGCCCACCTAGAGGCATCCCGTGGTGCTGAGGCGAAGGGATCCGCGTCCGACAATGTGCCGCTGTGGAAAGTCCTGATCGACTGGCGCGTACATCTTTTCACGATGTGCTTTTTCTGCTGCGACATTACCGCCTCGTCGATGGCAGCATTCGCGCCAACGATTCTCACGCAACTCGGCTGGACGAATACTGTCGCTCAGCTGATGACCATGCCAGTATGGGGCTCCGGCATCGTGACCACTTTCGCTTTCACCTGGCTTTCGTCACGCCTCAACTTTCGTGCTCCGTTTCTTCTGCTTTCCATCTGCTTCCAGCTGGTGGGCTGGATTATCGAGCGCGTCTATGTGCCTCAGGCTGGCGTCCGCTATTTGGCGTTGTTCTTCATGTCCGTCGGGACCTTCCCGCAGATGGCCATACTGATGGCTTGGTTGTCGGCCAACCTGAGAGGCCGTAAATATCTCGCTGTCGGCATGGCTTGGATGGGAGGTTTCGGGAACTGCGCCAATTTTATTTCGTCGAATGTCTTCATCAAAGCCGAGGCACCTCGTTATCGAACGGGGTTTACGGTGGGGCTGATCTTTACGATTGTCGGTTTCTTGCTCACGACTGCTGGTGCTGCGATCCTGTCGTTGAAAAACAAGAAGCGGGAGGCTAGACGCGCCGAGCTGGTAGATTCCGAGAAGGATAGCTACGACGAGTTGTATTTTAAGTTTGTTCTTTGAAATACTTACAATTCGTTTACTCTCCGAAATAGAACAGCTTGGTTCGTCTCGGATAGGTTAGCATATCGAAGTGCGCCACCAGCAGACGGAATGTGGGTGGGCAATCTCGCTCGTGCTCGTGTCGTCGAGGGCCTACAGCTGAGTTTCCGGCGGAAACACCACATCGACAGCCTCCGCCTCGCATCACCTCAGCATCGCAGTATCCGAGTGCTCTCTTGTCGCACGAAATGTATGGTCTCACCCCTCCTCGCACGTCACGGGTATGCCCGGAGCTGCCTGTGCCGTGCCGTGTCGCTCCGATATCCACACCGATCTCATCTGCCCCTTTTACTCGGCGAAAGGTGTCTGCGACGCGTCTTTGTGGGATAATACGCGTACGTTGCACGAAGGATAGCGAAGGGCGTGAGGGCGCGTCGTGGGCGGAGCTGACCGGAGTGTCGGCGGGGAGCGACGCAGCTTTGACCGGGGAGACGCGTAAGACAGAGCGGTAGAGATGAAAGGCGGTGGATGTGAAGGTGGAGGTGATGACGATGATGGCTGGGGAGATTGAGGGCTGTGTGCGTGCGTCGGCTAAGTGCGGCGGACAAAGCGGCCCCAAAATGCTGAACATCCGAAGCCTTTTCTCGTGTCTTGCAGCAACGAATGTCCGAGTGGTACTTAGTATCTTATTTAATTCCATGTAACTGACCCTATCGAAGCTAGATTGCATACTGGAAGTACTTCTATGCCCTTTGGCTTGCCTCGACTTTTTTCTCGACTCACACGCCACTATTTCCTCCTCATTCGAGCCCAAGCACTGCTAGCTCCTCGAAGGCTAGCTGGTGCAAGTTGTCTGGGAAAGTTAGCTGATTGATCCTTGCCTTGAATAGAGAGCCACAAACCTTTCGATCATTGATTTGGATCCGTCGAAGCTTCCAGGCTGTCAAAGGGAGATTTTTCATATGCGCTAATCTCCGCAGGGAGGTCTTTATTGAGTTTCTCTCTTTGTGTTGTTTCCAAATAATCTCTTTGGAATGTTTTGAGACGCCGAAGAACCGTGTTGTAGTAAGGCTCTTGCCTTCTGAATTTGACCATGTCAAGATGATTTTTCACAATCATGCTCCGCTGGTCGATATCGTCTCCGTATTGACAATCATAATACACTGATTCTCCGTCCGTAAATGGGGTCGGTGGGTTTGTAGTTTCCGAATCACCATCAAACTGCTACAGTATTGTTAAAGCGATTCAGCGAGGAAGATTTTACACTGCTTACCTCAAATGCAGTTGGCATTACCAGCCCTTCATCGAAAAAAACCACCTCTGGCGGGCGCCTACCAGTACGCTCTAAGTTGGAACACAAAGCCTCGCGAAACGCCGTCTCCTGGTCTTGACAAAATGTCGAGTCCCTTCCGAGGCTCGCAATGAGATCTCTGTTTTGTTGATGAGTAACCGTTGGGAGCAGAGAGCTGATTCCCATTCCCCGGCTTGGTACACCGAAGAATAAGAGGCCTGCTACAGCGTCAAAGTTTATCCTATCAAGTTTGGTTCCGTCCTTCATATGGATCAATGCCTAGGAATCCCATTAGCTTTTAATAATTCTAAACTCGATTCAATTAAGTCCGACCTGCTTTATCAATATTCCACCTAACCCGTGCCCAATAAACATGAGTGATCGCGGTGGTTCGCCCTGCTGTATACGTGTTACAATTAAAAACTTTTTGTAATCGTAGGGTAATTTTACATCTTCATAGCTCCGAATGCCATTGATTGTACATCGAAGTTGGGAGGCTAGATCAGAGATGGTTTGGAAAGAATCGGCATCCTCTAATTCAGTCTTGTAGCCAAAGCTGAAAATCCTTGCCTTTGGCAGGTCTTTAGGAAGTGAATCGCGCAGCCACATGTAAGAAGGAGCATTTTTATCTTTGAAAGACTCAAATCCGTGACCTTCTAAGCCACAAACGGCGATTACACTGCATAAAATCAGCAAAAATTCAACACGTGATAGGCATAGAATCACTTACTCTGCTTCTACAATGTCGCTAGAATTTGAGTGTAGTGGGGTAAGGCGCAAGAAATGCGTATCAAGAGTGAGATGAATGTAATCATTCAGACCCTCTCCGGTGACTTTTAGCTTCCACTGATCGCGACCACGGTCCAATTTCTGTCTCAAGTCTCCAGTGACATCCACAGTGGCAACCTTCCCATCGTAGGATGGATCATCTGCAAGAGAGCGGACCTTGAATTTCACATCTTCTTTTAGATTGAGGACATTGCGGAGGAGCTCCAAGGTTTTTCGACTGTCGAAATCGTTTGGTATACCCCTTAATCTGTATGTTTTGGCTTGTTCGATCTTGAGCTTTTCGGGTTCAGTGATTTTTTGGGGAGCATGTTGCCAAAAGGACCACCGAAGTAAGGAGAAGAATTTAGTGAAACAATAGTAACAATAGAGAGACAATAAATTTACCAGGTTGAACCAGTTCATGGTAAGATTGTCGTGGTTCCCTGTCCGATGTTTGAGAGGTTCCCAAATACAATCGTGCAACAACTCTTTGATCATCCAATTGCAGGAGGATGATATACATGTAATATCGAGTGGGGAGACGTCTGCAGAGTAGAAATCCGAGGCGCGCGACAGTTCAACTTCAACAGCCTCAGTGTGGGTCTAAAGACCTGGCCATCCATACAAAGACAACTGACGCCCTCTGTACATAGAACTTGGAGGCTTTGGCATTGGTCGAGGACGCGTCTTGTGGCACAGCTGAAACGATGCTTCGCGAATCACATTTTGAGCCAGAACTCGACAAGGCCTCGCCTCGATGGAGGTGATCCGTGCAGTGTTTAAAAGAGTAATTTGTAGGGGCATTTAGGCGCGCGGAAGCGGTTGGCGAAGCCTGGCTGTGCAAAGTGGAGCACGGTGTGTGCTGTTTTGTTTTGCGCTGCAAAGATAAGAGCAGTCATCAGTGTCATTAAGGCCATACTTTTTTAATCGCACGCGCCACAACCCCAGCACTTCAAGTACCAGATGCTTGCTCCTCCATTTTCTCGAGACCACAGTCTTCTAGGAGGATACATTTACCCTTCATCAATTTTTCACAGAGACCGATTAATTCGTCCGAAGAAGGACTTCCAATCGTATCTTTACGCCCAGCTGGAAACGCAAAAAGTCAATGCTGTCCATCAACATTTATGGCTTGCTGGCTTGCCTAGGCCTGCACGCCCACTACACCGTCAACAGGTGCTGCAACGCGCAATAACTATCGCCGAAGATCCAAATCAACACCTTGTCTGGCATGAATCTTGCATATATATCAAGCCGCTTCCGCCTTATCTCTTGGACCTGGAATTTTGGAAAAAGAATTTGTGCCCGCAACAAGCACTGTATCAGAGCGCATGTGGACTACTACTTTCCTACACCTGGCTCATCAGCTACGAATGCGATTGGAAGATTGCTCGAGCGTACGGCTTGATACCGGAGTCAATGACATGGCGCGCCTGGGTAACTTTCGCTGACGATCTTCTGGATCACATAGAAGGTCATCATTCACCACTGGTTGACAAGCGATACTTCTACGGCGAGCTTCGCCTGTCACGCCTTAACGCCATCTACCGGCTTGTCCCGCCAGTGTTTTCCTTGAAGCATATGGTGTACGGCTTCTCTTCCAACTCCACATGGTACAAGCAATTTTTCACGAAGAACTTTGGGTGGTTGTTAGCTGCATTTGCTTATGCAAACTTGGCCCTGTCCGCGATGCAGGTTGACGTATCTCTTAAGTATCTTGAAGATAATCCGGTGTTTCACAAGGCATCATATGGGTTCGTTGCTACTGTTCTCCTGGCTATTGTATTAATACTCGGAGGAATATTTTTTTTATGGGCTTTTCTGTTCTGGTATCACGTTATTTCTACTGTACAATTCGTCAAAAAAGCAAAACGCATGACAGAGAAAGACTCTGTCCATCCATAGGCGATTGCACAAGTTGCTTATAGTAGCAATCGGCATCGTATAAATTCATTAAATATTTACTTTGACTCAATTCTTTCGTCGAATGTCCCGAGTCTTCGGTCAACCGCTTCATTATTGAGTTCCGAATTGGCTAAGCCTCGGAGACCGAGACAAGACATATAAACTGTATGGATTTCCAACTAAATTGCTATTCGGCTAATCCATTATCACAGTTGTTTCCTCACTCACAGCATGGAGTATTCCGGTCCTTCTGTCTCGGTTCAGATCAAAATCACCATTGACCCTTCCAACAACGATGCATTCTTAAAGGCGCTCAAGCCTGTATTTGACAGAATCGTTGAAGAGCCTGCCAATACCTTTTTTGAGGTTTTCCAAGATGCGAGGCAGCCTGGCGTGTTCAAGTTGATTGAAAATTGGAACGCAAGCACGGAGGATGTGATGAAAGTAAGCCGCAAATACTGTTGTTTCCAAAATATATATCTCCTTAGACACAGCTTATTAATTATTTTGATTGTTTGCTAACACAATAATGAACAGCACCCGCAAACGAAGGACTACCTCAAGCTTTACTTTGCAGCGACACAACCTATGCATACCAAACCTCTAGAAGTTGAAGTCTTCAACCGCATGCCAGGGAACGAGTTAGTTAGCTTTCGGAAAGATTGTTACCCGGGCAGGGAATAGCAAGGAATTATTGAAAGCAATTGCGAGATTTCTCTTTGTATAACACTTCCAAGAGATTCTACGAGGAAAGCTCCATTCAAGTAGATTCAGTACACTCTAGACATCTTAGCCTCTGCTCGAAGGCCTATTTAAATTGTCGTTATTTGAAGAATAAAGGACAATTCTGCGACGTGCCCGACTTGAGAACATCAAAGAAAATACTTGAGGTACGGGCGACAGTGAACACTGCACGATGGGAGCAGACAGCTCTACAAATGACCATTTGAATCAAATCATGTTGAAGCTGGATTTTTGTTTCTTTGCGTCATGTTCGGAAAACCCAATAAAATCTCAAATGCCGAAGATTCACGCGCTTCATTCGGATCATTGAAGTAATTCTCTTTATATCTGAAAACATGGTATTGCACAAAACATCTGATACCGTTGTACTTTATAAGTGCCAGTTGAAGTTAGAATGAATGCGCTCTGATCGATGGCCGTTTTCTCCACTAAAGTCGACATTAGCAGCTGCATTGCGGGCTGTACCGATGGGCACTGGTTCCGACAGGTTCAGGGCTCGATATCCGGCCACCGAAAATTGCACTTGCTTCTTATTATGTTTCCGATATCTTAAAAAAGCAATGCCGAATAGGGGTTTGTTTCATTAGTGTTTTCTATTATGGTTAAAACTGGACTAACTTCCCCTCCTTCGGAGCCCGACCAGCTACGTCACCTGTTACACAGCTTGCTTAATAAACAAAGTTGCCTTCACCCAAAGCGAGATTGCTAGAGCTCGATAGTAGTGTATTAGTATATCTTTACACTTACTGACTTTTCTCCAATCGATGTTAACAACTGTATCTGAAATTTTGTACATCAAATTACTTAAATATATCGTAGCCGTAGGCTGCAAACATTTAAGCAAAAAGAAAAAGAAAAAAGAAATAATCTACAAGGTCAGACCATACCTTTACCGGATAGAAGGGTTATTCTAGTTCGGTCTCCTTGAAATGTAGCGCTCCGATTGGTGATTTGCCTAATTCTCTGCGGCTACCTACACTAGTACGCCAATCTTACATATATACAGCGCACCGATGGGTGTCCATACATTTTCACCTTCGAAAACTCAATTCTTGCCGAGACTCTCGGAAATCATTTACAACCATGGCCACTAAGTCGCATCCTACGAGTGGCTCTCAGGTCGCTGCCTTAATTGCGGGCTCTTTCTTGTCCGGTGCGTAGAAATTGCTCTTAACGCATTATTCTTTTACTGATATGTAATATCCCTAAACAGGAGCTATGATGGATATTTCTTTAATAGCTGTCCCAGTCCTTCTCGACACAGTAACCCAGCCCGCTCATCTACTTCAGCAATGGGGCCGTTTGTACTACTACGGCCACAAAATGATGCCAACACTGGGGGTTGCCGTCTTCACATTGTATGGCTACGCCGCAATCAAAAACCGCGCAGTTAAGAGACCATGGCGTTCGTTTTTGTTGGCTGGCATCATAACCCTGGTTATGGTACCCTTCACCTTGATCATCATGCGTCCGTTGAACAATACAATGTTTGAACTGGAGGCCGCGAATAAAGAAACACCAGTAATAGCTTTGGAAGAAGCCCAGAAGCTTTTGGTTCAGTGGCGTTGCTTGCATGTAGTCCGATCACTCTTTCCTCTCGCGGGGGCAGCACTTGGGTCTCTGGCCATATTTGGAGGATTTGAGTTTTAAAAGTGGAGAAGATGACTCTCTCAGAATGTGTGAGACGATACTTCAACTCATGGATTTGAGCTGCATGTGATGCTTTAGGATCTAGAATTTGGGACCAATGGGAACATTAAATCAATTTAATTGTTTTCCTCGAAACGTTAACTTTGATTTACGACATGCTTGCTGCTCACAGTCAATCTTTCTCGCTCATCCATTCGTACATCTCTAGCTCAGTTTCTAGTGAATAACCTCGGACATCTAAAGTCGCTCTCCGATGCTCATGCCGAGCCCCGACTTTTCGCGGAGAAGTAAGCTCAGCCCTCATGTCACGGTCACCGATAGGCCGCTTCGGCCAATTTGTTTCCTTACTATAGCTTCCAAGTTGTGTTGATGGAAGAAAGTCTACCATCGAATCCACTCGCTAAAGGCGGAAAGTGGGTATCACTTTCAAACAGCTAATTGCTAGCACCTATGAATTATGCAGATCAATAATTGGCCGCATCCATTTCTGTAGAGCTTGCGTTAATGATAGAGAAAATGATTTAAAGCCGCGTGGCGCTGGTTACGGACAGCGGTACCTACTTTCGTTGAGCAATAAATCGATACTGTTATAATTCCGAAACTACTTAAAGTCTGCTAATTCTTGTTTGTCCCTCCATCAACTTCTATGCTACACATGCGAAGAGAAATAAACATCTTTACAACATAGTCATCGTCTTTGTTTTATTGTTCACCGCTTTGTCTCATTTGGATTTCCGTCTGGGATAATCATGTACGAGACAAGCCTCACTACCCACGAAATGCATTTGGCCGAGATTGACGGTGGCCCTCTGGACAATCAATCATCTATCTTTTCGCTCATTGAGCAAGGCCTGCGAAAGAACCCCCACGGGACTGCCATTATTTGTACACACCAGCCTGAAAGCCACCTATCCGACCTATTGGAGATAATCGGCACCCCGCAGCAAAGCAGCAAGAACGACTTTGGATGTCTGGCTTTGACTTATAGTCAAATACACCACATGGCTAAGATACTAGCCACCGGCATGCTTGCGAACGGTGTGCAGCCAAAATCGATAATACTCATGATGATTCCGAATGGCGGCGAACACTGTGTGCTGCTGTGGGCTTGCATCATCATGAGGTTGACGTATGTTTGCGTCGACCCTTCGGCCTTGGACACATCGAAACAAGCTGTGCTCCTGAACACTTTGAAGATGGTGAAGCCATCTCTTATCGTAGTTCCGAACGCGACCGGAGCTGAAGTACTGCAAACTGCAGTAGTGGAATCGCATCTCGCGGAACCTTTGTATATCTCCCTACAAGGCGACGCCCCCAACGGTTGGAAGTCTCTGCTCGATTTCGCTATCGACGAGCCCAAATTATCACTGAGCCAAGACGAGCTCCTTGATGCCGCGAGGGATGATGATCCAAACCGGATTCACTCTATTCTTTTCACATCTGGAACATCCGGTCAGCCTAAGGGCTGTCCTCTGCGAGCCGGCGGTATGAGCCATGTCTTAATATCCCAGTCCTGGCTTCTCAATGGTGACAATTGCGCCTTGGCACTTCAACAAGCACACAACTCCCGAGCCATTGCTCCTGCTCAGATGCTACAAACGTGGAAAGAGGGTGGCGCGGTCGTCGCATCAGGACGTGGGTTTTCGGTTGATGACATGGCAGACGCAATTGAAAAGTATCATGTCACTTTCATCGTCCTCTCGCCTGCTATGGTGCACTCCATAGGACAGCGGCTCGCATCTCGTCCTTTCAACGTGGAATCAGTGCGATCAATCCAACTAGGTGGGGATGCGGTGACCAAAGACCTGTTGATCAGATGCGCTGCACTTTTCCCCTGTGCTAAAATTTGCATTAATCACGGAATGACGGAAGGCGGGGGCTCCTTCAAATGGCCATTTTTCAGTACACCAACCTCCAACATACCCTACTTTGGAGAGATATGCCCGATCGGCACAATCGCTCCTGGAGCAGTTGTACGGATATGGGACACCGCTGAGGGCACAGTGTCGAAAAGAGATCGACCTGGAGAGCTACATCTGTGCAGCGGTAGCCTCATTCCTCATTACATGGACAAAGTGTCAGAATCATCTTTCTATGAGGATAACAATGGTCGCTGGTTCAACACTTGCGATATTGCGATGATCGCCAATGACGGTCTCGTATACATACTCGGTCGAAAGAAGGACATGATCAAGCGCAACGGCATTGCCGTTATGCCCGCCGCCATCGAGAGTTGTCTAGAAAAATATGTCGACTCACAAGTAAGTCTACATCTGCTCAAGTACCCCCTCCCATTGAGACCCTTGCGTTATTATTTCAAACTACTAACATGAGGTTCACCCTAAGGCGTCAGTGGTCGCAGTGCCGCACCCAACACTCGGCCATGAGCCTTATGCTGTACTGAAAAGTTTCAATGGGAAGAGCGAAGATGATATAAGATCTCATGTCCTGTATACCCTCGGCAACGACTACGAACTGGGAGGTTTGTCATTGTTGGAAAGAATTGGGCTCCAAGAATTTCCGGTTAATGAAACGCACAAAGTCAAAAAACTTGAAGTAGAAGCGGCTGTCTGGAGATTTCTTAACGGAAATTAAGTTGTCAGCCAGGATCATTCCGATAACTCTCTGTTGCACCCCAACGGCGCCTACCCTATTTGGCTGTCCTTTTTACCAAATTCGACAGCCAAATTAGGCAATATCGGCGCCTGCCGTGGGCGGGCGTCGATCTGGCCAAAATGGCCGCCAATTTGGTGTTGATGTTGCAAATATATGAGGCATCACGCCACCTACTGACTCGACCCCTGAACGACCCCTGTTCAACACCAAATCAGCTATCATCACCGAGCCGCATCTGCAGCAGCGCCTGCAGTAGCAGCAGTCCCTCCTGCGTCGGTATGGAGGCCCGCTGGTTATATAATATACTATGCCTGGTAGTGCTTCGCAAAAGCAAAAGTCTGAACACGCGTTGATGTATTGTAGAGGCCTGTTTTTCGCCCATAAAACGGGCTTGAGAATGCAGCAGCAGGTCAGTGAGCTTCAACGCTTTCTCCATTTTACCAAGCACGGTTTACAACATGTCTTCTTTGTCCTCCGCCGCTCCCGCGCGCCCTGCTGAGCACTCTGCTACACCCGGCCCTGCTGCTGGTGTTGAGAACCGCCCTGCTAACACCACTGCTACGCTCCTACCGCGTCCCTACGTCCCAGAGCGGGTTACTGAGCCCTTTACCTCCGCTGCGCGCGAGTCCTTCAGCGCCATGATCGAAGCTACTGGGGATAATACAAGGCACATTAGTGCTCTGCAGTACTACGAGCTTCGACAGTGGCTCACTGGCAGGCCTACGAGAACTAACGTCGATCGCCGTGCCCGCCGTCATGCCAAGGATAACTATACCTTCTATGAGGGAGAAGGTGGCAAAGAAGGCCTGTATAAGAAGGCCGGTGAGGGGTATGAGGAGAGAAAGGTATTGCGTAAGAGCGAGGTTTTTGATGCTATTCAGGACGCACACCTAGATACTGGCCATACTGGTATGTATATTACTATATATAAAGACGTCTTTTTACTAGTAAAACCGCCTACTAATATACACTACTGTATAGCTATCGAATCAACATATAAGCATGTTGTTTCCCAGCACTACGGTGTTACCCGTAACGATGTTGCGTTCCTCCTACCCCTATGCCAAGTGTGTATTCGCACGAGGAACCACCCTACTGCTCCAGCGCGGATAACGCCGATCCTCTCTAAGGAGATATTTGAACGCCTACAAGTAGATCTCGTTGACTACTCCAATCACCCTGACCCGGTAACAGGGGATAAATACGTACTACACATACGCGATCACTACTCCAAGTTCTCCCAGCTAGTCCCTCTACAGAACAAAACCGCACGAGCAGTTGCCTCAGGGATACTACGCTGGATACAGGCATTCGGCGCTCCGAAGATGCTTCACTGTGATAACGGCACTGAATTCAAGGGCGCTGTACGTGTTCTCATGGAGGACTATCGTATAAAGATCACTCTTGGCGCTCCTTATCACCCAGAGAGCCAGGGTGGTGTTGAGAGAGGCAATAGGGATATTAAAACGAAGCTTGCGAAGGCCTGTACTGCGTGGGGCCACCCTGGCTTCGCTCATGCCTGTGTGGACGTTACTCTGCAGTCGAATGCTACACCACGGCGGAACATTGGGATGTCTGCTCACAAAGTCCTCTTCGGCCGTAACATAAGGATTGGGCGCGTACGAAGGCCCCTACACGAGAGGGCCGAATCGCCAGTGATAGTTGAGGACAACATTACGGAGAGCTCCGGTGATGACAGTACTACAGCGGACATGGAGGTGGAGGACTCAGATGACGCTGATACTGCGGAGCACGAGCGGGGGAGGACTCGCGGGCGAGCGAACGAGGCGGGCGACGGTTCGCAAACGAGCGCTGGCCCGCGTGCGAACGAGCGAGCGAACGAGCAACCAGCAGAGCGCGCTGCGGGAGCTGCGGAGGTTGTAGCAGGTCCGATAGGAGACCCGTCGGGTACCCGCAGTTCCAATTTATCGCCAAGACCCAGCCAAATATCGCCTTCCGAAGAAGACCCGTACCACTCTTCATCTTCGTCGGACCTGCCGCTACCTTCGACGCTTATGCGGCCTCGCGTACGAACTACTACTGTCGAAACGATCGATCTAACGCACGATACCCCGCCGCGGGCCGCTCCGCGTGTCTCACAACAGCCTCCTCCGCAGTCCCCACTGCCTCCGCGTCCCTCACAGAGTCCTTATACTTCACTGATTCGGTGGCCGCTGCCGCTTACGCCCCGCGCTGCTCGTATCTCTCCTCCATCAGCAGAACAGGAGCTACTGCGACGTCCTGATGCTCCAGAGTCGGTTCGAAGAGGCATGGAGCGCCTCGCCTGGGCGCAGAGAGAGGCGTTTGCTGCTAAGCAGATAAAGGAGGAGCGACTACAGGAGACTGCAGAGCGCGCTCTACAGTTGCAAGCGGAGCAGGCGGAGAAGGCGGAGCAGGCGCTACAGGCGCTGCGGGCACTACAAGCAGAGCGAGCAGAGCGGGTTGAACGTGCGGAGCAACCCCCTGAGCAGCACCCCGCGGAGCATCCTCCGCACGCTGAACACGCGGCCAGTGAGCCTCCGCTCGCTCAACACGCGGCTAGTAAGCAACCCGCGCCTACTGATAGAGGGTGGGACCGCTCCGCAACTGACGCAACAGTCCGCCGACTTGGTGATAATGAGCGCCAGAGGATGGTAAAGCAATCAAACACCTCACAGGCCATGCCACCGTTCACTATTGGCAGTGTTGTAGGCGCGAAGGTGCCTGAAGCGGACCAGCGGGGTGCTCCGCAGATGTTAATCGGTGTTATCCATGAGGTAATTGGCCAGATGTATTCTGTAAGAACACCCTTCGGTGTTCTTAATCGACCTTTCCCTCCGCACAAGCTGGCCCTGCTACAACCCGCCCAGCGCCCTGATCATCTTGATACCCCTGAGGCGAATCAGCGCATCTCAGTACGCCAAGCAACACAGCAAAATGGCCTCTCTCTTGGCATGATTGCCCCCAGTTGCCAGTGTACGCGAGGGTGTAATAATAACAGGTGTGTTTGCCGAAAGGAGGGTCGAGAATGTGGTATCAGGTGCCATGGAGGGAGCCAGTGCTCGAACCCACCGCAGCAGGGTGAGTCCTCTATAGGAGCAGCGGGTGAAGCAGCGGGTAGAGCAGTACGCGGAGTAGCACGCGGAGGACGTAGTGGGCGTAGCGGACGTAGCGGGCGTGGCGGGCGTGGCGGGCGTGGCGGGCGTAGCGGGCGTGGAGGAGGGTCCTCTACAGTAGCAGAGGCACCTGCTACTGCAGAGGCACCTACTACTGCAGAGGCACCTGCTACTGTAGAGGGACGCGGAGGACGCCGAGGACGCGGTGGGCGCGTAAGACGAGGCAGTGGGGTGGCCCGGGACGGTGGCACAACGCGTTCGGGGCGGGTGAGCAGGCCAACAGCGCACGCGCGCGGTGACGATTGAGGTGTTTTTAGCACTTTTTTTTTGCGGAGTTGTAGATGGTTCGTGATATTTAGTAGTCTTCTTTTTCTCCAATATTCTCCGAGTTTTTTGGTGTGAAATAGCGGAGAACAGCGGAGAACGAAGAACTGTAGCTGACTCGCAGACCAGCACGGGTGATTCGGTTAAATGTACGAAAATTGATACGATCTACAACATCAACACCAAATTGGCGGCCATTTTGGCCAGATCGACGCCCGCCCACGGCAGGCGCCGATATTGCCTAATTTGGCTGTCGAATTTGGTAAAAAGGACAGCCAAATAGGGTGGGCGCCGTTGGGGTGCAACATCTCGTTTATCAGCCTCATTATTTAGTTGTTACACAACAGCCTTACCCCTGCACTACTTATTTACCACTACTAAAGAGAAAACGTGTTCTTTTAGATAGCAGCATATATACCTCCATAGGTAACAGTAATCTAGAAGGACAAGCGGCGTCCAATTCCTCGCGCCCAGCTTCACAGTTATGAGCCCGGAATCGCATCCTTTTGCGCCTATTCCCTTTGAGATCAATCTTTGATCAAATCTTATCGGTTCACTCGCTTGATAAGCTAGTGTAACACTTGTTTTAGACGGCGGAAGGCTGTCTACACTGTTTC